CGGTCCCAGCGGCGGGCCCATCACAGGTGCCCCTCCGGCCGTCCCGGGTGGCACCGACGGCGCGCGCGGTGGTGTCTGCGTTGCTGGCTGCAGCAGCGATCCTTGCGTAGCAGGCCCCGTCGGCTTCCGGCGCGGCTCGTACCGCAACGCCCCACGCTCCGAGTCGGTGCTCGAGAAGCTCGGTCGATTCTCGCGCTCCAAAAACGCGCGCAGCTGGTTCGGCTCCGGCGATTCGCTCCTCGCCATCTCGTCGCCAAACCTCGTCTTCATCGGGCTCGATACGGCACTCGGCGGTTCGCTCGCGCCTCCTTCCCGCACAGCTCGCAGCGCACTGTGCAGCTGCACCAGCCTCGCAATGACGTTCTCCCGCAGCGGCTCCACCACATCCATGTTGGCGCACCACTCGAGGTTCGTCAGCACCTGCTGCGCGCTGCGCCGAACCAACACCGGCTGCTGCCCGTCGTGCGTCGGCGGCAGCGTGCTCGGCAACTGCTCTAGCGCTTTGCTCAGGATCGTGCTCGCGTCCGCACGGAACGTCTGCTCGTCTAGCGTGGTAAACTCCATGATGCTCGCCAGCGTGTTGAGCTGCGTATGCAGCCGCAGCAGCGACTCGCCCTCGTTCGGAGCACAGTACCGGTTGTTGGGCTCTTCCAGGAACGCCTCGAATGCATCATACGCCGACGAGCTCCGGTCCGAGAGTAAGTGATGCATGGCCTCCAATGATGATTGCGCGTCTCCTTCGTTCGAGTCCATCGAGATGCTGTCGCGCGACGCAAAATTGAGCGCAGCAGCAACGGGTGCAGGAGCCACAATCGCGGGCGCGTCGTACGAACCCTTTTGCGCAGTCTCGGGGATGTCAAAGCCACGCGGCTCGTTGGCCGCATCCGAGCCCGTGCTCGTGCGCAAACTCTGGCGCAGCGACGCGGGCAGCTCTGGCTCTTCCATCCCTGAAGGCATGTCGAGATGATACGCGGGCGCAGAGCGATTCGCAACGTCATTTGCGCCGGTCCGGCTTGGCGAGGGGGAACCCGAGCGCACCTCGCCCGGCTCCCGTTCAGCCAGAAGAGCATACCGACGACGTGGCGACGTGGTGCCCGTAGGGCTGGCGGTGCCGCTTGCGGAGTTTTGCGCGCGCGCCGATGGGTCGGCAGGCACCATGAGCATGTTGCCGAATTCATCCACCGTGCCTCCGACCACATCCACGGCGCGCTCAGCAGCATCGGCCAAGGCGCCCAAGGCGCCTGTCGCGAATCCACCCAGTGCCGAAAAGGGGCCCGAGCTGTTGGACTTCTTGGGCGGCGTGGCACGCGGCCGAGCGCGATCGGCCAATGCAGCCGGATGCGATGCTGACGCTGGTGGCATGCGAAGGTTTGCTCGCGGCTGCGCGTCCAATGACATCTTTTGCCGCGAAACAGAGTCTGGCGATCTCGAGCGCGGCACTGGAGCATGAGAAGGTTGTGCTGGCAGAGATGATGTCGGAGGCACTGCATCATCGAATGAAGTTGGTTGAGTGGCGCGTGTCGCTGGCGAATTCGAGGCTTCGGCCGTCTGGCGGTCCAAAGCGGCGGTGTCGAGCGACTTGAGACGCTCGAGCTCTTCGGGCGAGATGGTCTGCGCTTCCAGGCTGGTCTCAGAGGCGGGCTCGGCCCACTGGACGATCTTCTGGTTAATGAAGTCTGGGTCGCCGATGGTGTGCACCACCTGCCACGCCTGCTTGGCTACGACTTCGGTGAGAAGCAGCATCACTACGGGGCTCGAGCGCTCTGCAGGTGCGAGGTTGCGCGAAAGAAACTTGCGCACCGCCTTGCGCAGCGCATCCACACGCGCAGCGGTGCTGGGCCAGGTAGACCGGGCTGCCGCCGCCGCAGCCGCGCCGTTGAAGTACTGATTCGAGATGCGTCGACGGCGGAGCGACGAGAGCAGCACGCTCTGCACTGTAAGCAGCATCTCTGCCGACGTGTTGGCGCTCTTGAGCTGGCGCGATCGTAGGTAGACGCTCGTGGCCGTGTGTGAGATGTTGGCTTCCGCCGAGATGGGGAAGTTGGGATGTGCGAATGTGAGGTTGTCGTACCAGCCCTGCACAAAGTCGCGCACGACGAAGCGGATCATGGTCTGTGAGCTCTGGCGCAGCACATTGGGCATCTCGCTGAGCGAATAGAGCTGGTCGGTGTGCATGAGCGCGTCTTCTTGCGACGCAGCGTCGGCGGCCGTGTCTTCTAGGGCGGACGAAGCGTCGTTGGAGCGTGCGGCTGCATCTGGCGTATAGGAGAGGAGGTAGCGGGCGGGATCAAAGGTGGAGAGGCCGCGTTTGTCACCGGTGGTGCTTGGAAGCTCGAGCAGGGTCCGCACCCATGGATTGCAGACGAGAAGCGCCGAGACGACCACCACAAGCACCGCATTGCGCACGCCGATGGTAAGCAGTGCCACGACGAGGCCGACGGTGAGCGCGGTGGGGACGAGGTTGGCATGGCTGGCCGCGCTGTGCTGGGATGGTGCCGAGTCAGCAGTCTGAGCATCAGCCGAGTCAGCAGCCGGCTTGTCGTCGTTGGTCGATGGCGCGAGGCTCATTTTGATTGAGATGGGTGGATGAGGTTGGCATGAGGCCAAGGAGTGAAAGGGTTAGCACCGAGACAGCATGGCCATAAAGATGTGACGATGCTCCCGGCCCAGACGAGCTTCCACGATACGCCTGTTGATGGAGGAGCAGAAGAAGGTTGCAGGCCAGCACGCAACAGCGAGCGTCGATTTTGTTCTGCGTGATGACAGTGCGTTCGGTTGTCTAGGCGTGCAAAAGCGAGCCGATCGTCGGACGATGCTGCCGATGCGCGTCTGTGCTTTTTCGGTGATGACAGCCCGGCTAAGCGGTTGTCGCTCCACTCCGGAAACCCCTCTTTTTTCGCGTTGACCGAGCGAGCGCTTAAGCGTGCGAAGCGTTTCCCTGTTCTCATATGATACTCGGCGATCTCACACGACCGCTTTCCAGCACCCGCTTTTCATCAACTGCTTCGGATATGCCTGGATGCTTTCCCATTGCTGCCCGCACCTCACCGGATACTGTGGCCCTGCTGAGAGACGCGACGAATCATTGCAAAGCCAAATCAAAGTATCATGCAATGGATTGGGTTGGATCGGATCGGTCGGCCTTGCTGCGGGACCGCCAAGATGGGGTCGAATACTGATACAGAGTGCAAGCCGTGCTCTCCTGCTACGGCTGTGAGAGCGGAGCAGTCGTACGCATGCCTTTTGAACCGGGGAAAAGTCGGTCAGACGCATACTTAGTCGTCGCCCTCCGAGTCCTCGTCGCCCTCGACCTCGGCGTTCTCCTTCTCGACACGCGCCATGAGCTGCTCGAGCTCCTGGTCCTCCACCTCGGACACCGTCTTGGGCTTCATCTTGATGTTGACGTCGCCGCCGCTGGCGCGGATGCTCTCGGTGATCTTTTCGAGCGCCTGCTCCATGAGCGCGATGCCGCCCACCTTGTCGGTGGAGTTGGTGATGAGCACGTACAGCGGCGGCGCCACGAGCTTGATCTTGATTGGGATGGCCTCGGTGGAGACCGCCTCACCGGCACGCAGCGCCTTCTTGACCGCATCGATGCCCTCGTAGCCGAAACACGTCACCTCGACGTCGGCACGGATCTTGACCGGCTGCGGCGTCATCCTGCGTGCAATGTTGGCGTGCAGCTCCTTGCGCACCTCGTCGTCCATCTGGATGCCTTCGAACGTCTTGTCCATGTCGAGGATGGCGAGCTTGAAGGCATCAAAGGCGTGGCCGTACTTGTCGTGCAATGGGAAGACGATCGAGTCGTACAGCTCCTCCACCTCGCGTCCCAGCTTGCCCGCGACGTGCGCCATGATGCTGTGCACCGCTTTCGACTTGGTGAACTGGTCCTCGCACTTGACCACGTCCTCGGGCGACACTCGTCGCTTGGACAGGTCGATGTAGCCCTTCTCCTTGTCCACACGCAGCACCACCACCACCTCGTTCCTGCCCACGCGGATGAGCTTCTGGATCGATCGGATACGACGTCGGGAGAGCTCGGAAAGCAGGATCATGCCCTCGGCACCGTCGTACTCGAGCAGCTTGACGTACGCGCCCATCTCGGCAATCTGCTGCACCTGGCACATGACCACCTCGTCCACATCGGGCAGCTCCTTTTTGTAGAATCGCATCTTGGCGGGTCTGGTCGAGGATCAGAAAGGGTGTGCGTTCGAGCGCTGTCTAGGTTCGAATCAACAGATCTGGTGTGCGAGTCGACGACGTGCGGAAATGTGCTGCGGCGGCGATCTGGTCGAAACTGGTCGGTCGGTGTACAGTCGCTGGAGTTGTGTGTGCCGCAAGAGTATGGTGTCGAAGTCGAGAGCAGCGAGCAGGTTGGAAGAAGCTCAGCAACACCTTCGTCTCTGGACTGCAGAAACCTCGAATCCAGATCTGCAGGCTGCGCGCGCTTGACGGTGCTCGAGACTGAGCACGGGGCGAAGAATCTGCCAGCCCTTTGTGACTGGACCGGTGCCTCGCATCTTCACGTGATGGGCCCCTTCTGCCGCAAATTTCTTCCTATCGGCCGCAAGCACTTTCCTTCCATCGCAAACAACAGTTCATGAAGGTCTAACATTTACAGGATTTCGCAGATGTGGAGGCTTGCTCGGCCAAACTTTTTGTGACCAACAGGGTCCAGCTAGAAGACTCCCTCCTCTGTTCTCAACACCAACCAACACCTTGAATGCTCGCACCGCTTCCTTCGACAGCGGTCTGCCCGTAGCCACTCCGTATGAGTGCAGACCGCGGGCAAGATGGCGCTGCTGACCACGCTCCGGTCTCTGCTCGCCCACCTCAGCCTCCGCGCTTCAGTTCCTTCCGACCGCGCGAGTCCGCCTCCACAGCCGGCCCGTCCAGCAGCACCGACAAACCCCCTTCCGTCCTTTCTCCGCTTGTGAGCGGAGCATCACACAAAGCTGGTCAGCATCGGAACCCCAAACACTCCAGTCAAAGCCCGCGCAAAAGCGAGCGGGAGCGGGAGCGGCATTCTGACCAGCCGAGTGCTGCCGGTCCGTCGTTCCGCGGGGAATCCAGCCACACCCGCGAGCCGAAGCATCGGGACGAAAAGCGCAGTCACCACAGCCACCGTGACGGTGACCGTGATCGTGACCGTGACCGTGATTCGGGTTCTTCCAAGGACAAACGTCGACGTCGGTCGCGCTCGCCTCGCCGCTCATCAAGACATTCCGAACACCGCAGCTCCGCCCGAGTCGAATCAGACTCCTCGTCAAGAAAGCTTCGGCTCGATCCATCGCATCCCGGCGAATCCTCGACATTTGACCGCGACCTGTTCTTCACCGATACCAGGGGCGATCCAGATGCGCTGCTCTATGGCCAGGAACGATCCAAGGTCCCCCGATCCCATCGAGTCCCCCGCTCGGTCGACGCACTCGGCGTGGCTTCGCGCGACCCTCCCACCTCCGAGCGAGACGAGCCTCGGCCAAACTCACCGAACACGTCGTCCGCTTCATTCCCGCCACCAAGCGCACCCGACTTTCCCTTGACCGCAGAGGCGTTTATCGACATCAATGATGACTCGTACGCACTTGGCAATAGCTACCCGCCGCCGCTTCCCGGTGCTGGGATCGACATCAGCGAGCGAAAGAGAAGGGCACAGGCCGCCGTCGACGCCGTCCCAACGGATATTGATGCTTGGCTCGAGCTGGTGCGATGTCTCCCTCTCGTTTCCCTAGCTACACCCGAAGCACCAAGCTCGAGCGCTGCATCATCTCAGATGCCTCAAATTGCAGCCCAGGCCGCCGCCTCGATCGATATCCAGCTCTCCGTCTTTGATCGGGCCTTTGAGGCGGCATCCAGCAACCATCGTTCGGTCCGCCTTCACTTCGAACGGCTGCGCGTCGTGACGCAGGCCGACGCATGGCAGCCGTCTGCAGTCCAAGCCGAATTCGTCCGGGTCCTGAATCGCTTCCGTCACACGGACCCATCGCTCGACATGACCACCGAAGCTAGTGTCGTTGATATTTGGCTGCTCTACCTAGCGTGGCTCAAGTCGTCGTGGTCCATCTTCCAGTTCGACCAGCTCTTCGACACCTACAAGGACGCTTTGGACAGCCTGCGCGGACATCTGCTGAGTGCCGCGGCAGCAGGGCCTGCGAGCGATGCTGTCGAAGTCCTAGCGCAGGGCATGCTGGCGATTCTCGCTCGGCTTCTCAACATTTTGCGCGAGAGCGGATATCACGAATATGCCATTGCGCTTATACAGGCAAATCTCCATTTTGGCTCGGACCTGGATTCCGCAATCACCGAGCACACGCATCGCGTCTGGCGTCCCGCACTCGAGCCCAATCAACGAAAGCAAGAATACCAGCGACTGGTCGAGGTCGTCAGGAAGGCATGGGACGGAGGAAGCATCGCCAAGTCGACAGAGGTTTTTTCTGGGCCGATCCCCGGGTCTGACCGGAGCACTCAAATGACAACTGTCCAGGATGCAGCGCGTGGCGACCATTTTGCAACGCGATGGCTCCAGGCCGAGACAACTCGCTGCAATCATCGAAGGGCACCGGCGCGCCTGGAAGACCTTCCGACATGGGACATCGAGGGAGACGAGATCGATCCGTACAGCACAGTCCTCTTTGACGATCTTGCCGGATTTCTGCTGCCGCTATCCTCCGAATGTCATGCGCGCCAGATGCTCCTGGACGTGTGCGTCGAATTTACGAAACCTGCACGCAGTCTGATGTCCGAGATAACGTCTTGGTCCAGCCGTAACTGCTGGTCAAATCTGCAGCTACTGCCCGACTTTCAGGGCTCGATCGATGCATCATTCTGGCCACGGACGCTGCGCAGGGCGGACGAGCACGAGTCTAGATCCATGCAGTCCGCGAACGAATCTGCTCAGACGAGCGTCCGCAAGGTGCTGAGTCTGTTGTCTGCCAAAGGCATCCACTTGCCGTCGAGTGACACCTCAAGCTCCGTCCTGGATGATCTTTTTGACAGTCAAGCACTGGATCCGACCCTTTCGATCCCGGACCAGCGCCGACTGTGGGTCTTGCGCATCTACCTCGAGCTGCATCCAATCGCAACAGCGGTCGACGAGGTTGGGGTGCGCAAGCTCTTCGAGCGCGCTACAAGCACCGAGGTGGGAATGCACTGTCCGCTCCTGTGGCGTCTGTGGGTCGACTTCGAATCGCGCTGTCTCGACAGTGCGCTCTCAATCGCGCAAGAATCGGAGACGGCAGAGCCGAAGAAACGCGGATCGTCGAAACGCAAAGCGGAGCAGAAGCAGGTCACACGAGCCAGATCGACGTGCCTCGATGCAATCCGTGCGTGTCCGGCGTCGAAAGGCGTCTACCTTGCCGCTTTCGCCGCTCCCTTGTCACGCATCCTGACTCAGCAAGAGCTTGTCTGGATCTTTGACTCCATGGTCGAAAAGCAAATTAGAGTTCAGGTGGACCTTGTCGACTTCATTCCGCAGGACCCCGCCACTGGACCGCAGGAAGACGAGGACGACTCCGACGAGTCGCGAAATGACCCTTTTGATCCAACTTTGCCGTACACGAAGCGCGATCCGCGCCACGAGCAGGTCGGTGGTGGTCCGTCCGCGTCGAGCGACCGTTCAAGACCCGCACTCGAAGCTCTGCAAGCAGATTCCGCACATCCGTGCGCAATCGATCTGCTTCAGCAGCAAGCACAAGCCCGACCACGATCTATCGGCCTCGAACATCTGCCGACCGAGCTCCTTCACCACATCCTCGTGCTCTCGCGTTCGGACAAATTCGCCGTGGCGAGTCGGACGCTACGCAGCATCTGCCAATATGCGAGCGTGAGTGATCGCGTCGACTACATTATGGCGCGGTGGGCGGACCGTTACGTGGCACACAAGATCGCGCATCCGTGTCGGGCCAAGCACAAAGCGTGCAGGCGACAGACGAGTCGAGTGATCGCGCTCTGGCGAGAGCGGGAGCCTGCCTGGTCCGACTTTGCTGCCACGCTCACGGTGGAGCCGTGCGAGCTTGACGCACTGCGTACGGCCAAGCTGGACCTGGTCACTTTTGCGGCCGAGCTCGGCATCTGTACCGTGCAGGTACTCGAGCGCTTGGTGAAATGTGCAGCTGCAGCCAGGATCCCGCGCGCGCTACTCGGTGCTTACCTGCGGAACGGTTCCGCAAATGGCGTGCTGGTAGTGCACGAGGCGCTCGAAAGGCTGGAAGTGCCGCAACCGCAGCTGCCCAAGCGTCTCTTCCGTCACATTGACGACTACGGCTATGCCGAACCAAAACCCTCGGCCGTCATCGAGCGTCCCAAGAAGAGGCGCAGGGGGCGTAAGGGAGACGTGAACGACTGTACAGAGGTTGGACAGGTTTCGACTCAGGAGCCGTTCCCTGCATGGCTTACGCGGCTTCTTCAGAGTGTGGGACGAGATGCTCCGCATTCTACAAATCCACACACGACGGAACAGGCCCATGCGGATTCAGCAGCATCCAACGGACTGGCGGACGACAAGCGGGCGCACCCGAGCGACGAGCCGGACGCGATCAAGGCGAGCGTCGGCGTAGTGCCGAAAGCTGCCGAGTTGGAGCTAATCCTAACGCTGCTATACCAGTACGGTGCGGACGCAAGCTCGCACAGCGGCTATCCGCTCGCCATGGCTGTGCACCGCGGATCCTACTCGCTCGTCCAGCTGCTGTTGCTGTTCGGCGCCGACCCTGGATGCAAGGACGGGCTGGCGGTGCAAATCGCGATCCGCAACGGCGACCTGGACCTGCTCCGCTTGCTCATTGACGGTCCGTTCCTCGACCACGACCTGTCGAATCTGTTGCCGCTGCAGCCACCGAGCGCTCCGCCTCAGCTAGGCTCGCCTGTCTATCGTCTCGACCAAGCACGTCTCCGCCTGGCGATCCAGTGCAAACACTGGCACGTGGTCGATTTTATCTGGCACGACCAAAACGTGTCTCCCGACATTGCATGTCTGCGGCTGCTCGACAAGCTCAAGCCCTAGCCAGCTCACTCCGTCTCCTCTAGAAGTTTTACCGGCTCGCCGATGTCCGATCCCGATTCGTTCAGTCTTGAAATTACTGTTCCGCGGCTACGGAGCGGAGGTTGACTTCCGATCCGATTTGAAGCGAAATTTTTCGCAGGAGACGCCAAGGGAAAAAGGCGCTCAAAAAGGAGGGCGGCGCATGGCCAAGCCCTTTCGCTTGGCGCCAAGCAGGCACACCGACTTTGTGGAGCCTCACACCGAGATCCGCGGTGTTGCTGCCGACGACGACCACGCGGTCCGGTGCAGGCGGGAGCAGGCGAGTGACGTAACCGAACCGACCGCCATGCGGATGAGGCGCTACACCAGACGCACCCGACAAGTGACCACACCTGATCGCCATGCGCATGCGACTGAACCGCGTGATGCATCGGAGGCCTGCAGCGCGGTCCTCCTCGTGTGACCTGGTGCAACCTGCCAACGCCTCGTCGGAACGCCTCGTCGGAACGCAGGCGTGACATCGGCTCGCGCATCGGCTCGCGCTGCGAGCACACGCGTTGCTCGCTGACACACGCTGGAATGCATCACGCTACTCGACATCGGCAAGACTGCTGAGCAGCTCAGGCAACATCGGCTCGCGTCACTCCGCGCGCTCGGCCAGCCCGAAATCGCCGGAGGTCTACTTGACACAGGGAGAGCGAGACAGCGACCTCGCTGCATGAAATCGGATGCACGATCGCCAGCGCCGTGCTCACACGACCGGGTTTCTAGCACCGTGGTTGTTGTGTGTTTTTTTCCCTCTCCTGACCGAATTTTGGCACTCCGCGCGCGCGAACCGCCGTCTCTGACGTGCCAAGCCTTGGCTCGCATCGGAACAATTTTCCACATGTGCCGCCGTGCCTTAGCGCATGTCCACTCTGCATTGGTGTCCACCGCTGACAAGGCAGTCGTCGGGCACTTTGCGATCTCCTTCGGAGTTCACTGCTGTGTGACAGGACGCTGTTGCGCCCATTCTGGCGTTTCGTATCGTCAGCGTTGCACTACACCCTGCCTCGGACCTACAGCAACTGGCGTTGGCCATGACCAAAAGTTTCGAAGGCTACGGCCCCCTGACTGCAGCCTACATGTGGGCATTGCTGACATGTTGTTCGGCTATCTCGCATCCAATCCTGTCCTAAGCCCATGTGCTGTTTGGCCGGGCGTTCATCAAGATCTGTACCGTCACAGTGAACGTCGGCGTCAACCGAAAGGCCCTCCCATCCCCTGCCGCCGCCCCTGGCCGGCCCTGGCCGGCCCTGGCTGGCCCTCGGCTGGAGTGTGACTTGCTCACACGAAGTGACCACCCGTCTCATTCGCTCAAAGTCCGTGCGACTTCAGGGCAGTATGAAGGCGCTGTAATCTGCCAGCTTTCCCGGCTCGTCGGCTCGCATCCGGGCCCGCCGAGCCGTCGTGAAGATCCAAGATCTCGCTGTGCCTGCCCGTGTGCCTCTGATGGTCCAGCCGCGCCTTGTGCCAGCTCAGCGATGTGGTCAAGTCCGGAATCGCCCTATCCTCGAGTATGCTCCGCATCGTTCAGCTTTTGAGCTCTCCATCATCTTCTCTACCTTTCTGCCCTCGACCCGGCAAGTTGCGTAGATTGCTCCGCCTGTCTCTACTTCACCTTTCATACTTTGCCGAAGTCTGTCAAGAGACAGCCGCAGCTCGGCGCCAGCAGCAAGGCTTGGCGATACACCATGCTGCGCTACCTTCGGCCGTTGACCGAGCCCTTTTCCAGCCGATATCGACAATACCTTCCGCTACCAACCAGCAGTCCCCGCGGCAGTGTGAGCGCACAGGGCGATGCCGTCTCCACCAATGGAAGTGCGCCTGGCTGTCCCGCCAAGCATGTCTCCTCGACAAACGCACAAAGGTCCAAGGTCGGTGTGCGTCGCCGCTCACTCTCCTGGCATCTGCGACTTCTTCTGCTTCTTGCCGTATTCGCTTTCGCTCTTCATGCCACCGTGCGCCACTTCTTCTTTCCAGCCGCGCCTTCATCCGAGGCATCGCGCGCCGAGGCGCTGGCCATGCTGACCGATCAGCTGGCGACAGAGTCCCCGACACCTGCCTCCCAAGCATCTGCAAGCCTGCATATAGAAGCCAAGACTGCAGCGTCGCCCGAGTCGGTGCATCGCCTCTTCGCCGATAGCTCGCCTGGTGCCGCTTCGCGCGAGGTCATGCCCATCCGAGCCTATGATGCGCTCAGCGACGCCTGCATCGAGCAATGGGTCGTCCACCACCGCTGGGGTGACGCATGTCGCGGAACCGACATGAAGCACAGCCTCCGCTTCGACGCCGTCTGGGCCTGGGTCAACGGCAGCGATCCAGCACAGATCCTCGCGCGCAACACCTACAAGCCCTCCTCGCCCATCAACGTCGATGCTGCCCATCGCTATGCAGACCACAACGAGCTGCTCTACTCGATGCGCTCTCTCTATCACTCGTTTGGCGGTCACTCCATCGGCAAGATGCACATCATGGCATCCGCCTATCCTCTTCCCCAAGAAGCTGTCTCGTCTTTGGGAGAGCCTTCAAACACGACCCTCTACGCGGGACAGATCCCCTACTGGCTCAACGCGTCTTCCAACAGCCAACAAGACAAGATTCAGGTACACCACGACGCCGCTTATTTCCGACCTATGCAGCTCGACGGTCCCAACAAGCTCTCGCCAGCCGAAGTAGATGCATGGCGAGCACAAACCCTGCCCAGCTTCAACAGCCTCGCCGTCGAGTCGCAGCTCTTCAACGTGCCAGGCACTTCCTCGGACCAGCTCGTCTACCTCAACGACGACTTCTTCACCATGGTGCCCAACGAAGTGTCCGACCTCAGCTCCGCGCTTTTTGGTCCCGTCATCAAGAGCGACACGCGCCTCTTTTCCTTCTACCGCCCGTCGGAGCACCCTTTCCAGCGCCACTGGAACCCCGCTGGTGAAGAGGTGGGCATCAAGCGCGCCGCCTGGATCCTCGGTCAGCGCTTCCCCATGCGCTCGCTTCCTTATATCACTCATCACCCGCGCACACTCTCGCTGCCTCTGCTGCGAGAAGCTGCACAGACCTTCCCAGAGGCATTCAGCAACACCACCTTGGCGCGCTTCCGCGCTCAAAAAGAGGTCCCCGACTCGATTCAGGCCTTCTTCCTCGCTAGCTGGTATATCGTCGAGCGTCATCGCGAGGCACTTCTCTGGTCCTGGGCCGTTGCCAAGTGGGGCGGACGCGACGGCGTGCTCGATGCCGCCACCAAGCGAGCCATGTGGGACGAGATCAGGATGAAGACCAGCGAGTCAAAAGATGTCGGCACGGAAAGAGACGCCGATACCTTTGCCGTCAGCAGGCCGGTCCGCCGCTCGCGCGACCAGGACCGCGTCGTCTTCGAGCATGCAGGCGTACCGGCGCCCAAGAACACCGAGTATTCCTTCTCGTCGCACGACGGCCATGCGCTGTCGTACCTCGACTGGACCTGGCCGTGGCAACGCTCCCGCAACGGGTACCCGGATCTCAGCGAGCACGTGCAGGAGCGCGGACATGCTCGTTCCTGGATCCCGTCGTCCTCGTCCGGCTCGTCGCGGTCGAGCGTATGTCGAATCTCGTATTCTGCGTGCTTTGCACCGCAGAACGAGCGCGAAAGCGCAGACGCCTTGTTCAAGCGCATCGCCTTCGCGCCAGACACTGCATCAAAGTGTGGCGACTGCATCATGGCCGCACTTCTCACCGCTTCTGGCGAATCAGGCATCTCGGCTTTCCTTCCACCGGACTCGGCCGCCATCGACGTACCCGCCTCGAGCGACAAGATGGGCTCGCGTGCCCACCTGCCGCTCACTGAGAGCTGGCGCGCCACCGACTTTTCGATCGACTCGGTCTTGCAATTGAGCTCGGAGCACGCTTCCGCATCCGAGACTAGACGCATCTCGCTTCGCACATGGTGCACGCGCCTCATCCAGCGGTACCAGTACGTGCTTGGCGCCACACCGTCCACCTTCTACAAGGTCGAGTACGCCTCGCGCCTCCCGCACCAGCTCGAGGCAGTCGACCGCTCTCTCGCGGAAGACTCGCATCCCACCACCTTTTTGTGCCTCAACGACGACATCAAGGAGTCGACTCAGGGCACACTCAAGCTCAACCGCATCCTCAAGCGCTGGTTCGCTGCGCACTGGTCGCGCCCACTGCCGGGCGAGCTTGGCCAAACCTAGCGTTGCGACTGTACCTCGTTCCGTTTTTGTGTCATTTGTATTTGTACCGCATTCAATGCATCCTTTGTTGTCACAGTAGCGAGCGCCCATGTGAGTGTCAGAATGCTCATCATGGCGTCGACATGAATAGTCCTCGCGCGGAATTCACGCAGTAATTTCGCGCCGAGCTGTCGCGGAGCCGCATGATTGTTTTGGTGACATG